GATCCCAACATCCTTCCCAATCCGGAGGTACTGGTGGAAAGGAAGAGTGAGGCCGAGCCGCACCACCCCACCGCCAGCCCTCCATTCCTCTCCCAGGGACCGCGAAAGAAACAGAGTGAGGACAAACCGCACCATTCCGATCGCGATCCCGACACCCTTCCTTACCTGGAGGCAATGGCGGAGAGACAGAGTGAGGACAAGCCGCACCATCTCGCCACCAGTCTCTCATCCTCCAAACCCCCCCTTGACCCCAGCTCGGGAGTCACCTAATGAGGAGGAGGTCCGGCAACAGGCTCTCTATCCAATGTAAACCATCGGCTTGATTCATCGGAAGGGGATGCTAACTTACCGGAGAGACCCCTTCTACCACCATCGAGAAGCCACCCAGCCGGAGCTACTAGAATACTTGGCCAGCATCCCTGATCGGAGGTGTTGGCAGATCAGAGCATTTTTGGACCAGAGTGGCGATTTGGTCCTTTGCACTTTGTGCCACTACCGTCGAGAGTCCGCGGAATCGGCTAATATGTACCGACAAATACATGGCCATTACCTTATAGTCGGCCACTGGGTTAAGCCCAAGTACTGCTCGGATTGTCGGGATCCTGTGACAGCAGACCAGCCCATGTCGGAGTGCCCAGACTGTACGGCCGAGTTTTCTAGTATGGAAGAAGGAAGTTAAGGGGACCACGAAATTGTGCATTTCGCACTTACCCCGGGAGCAATCGAGACGGGTACCGAGGGTAGAGTAGGCTTTACGCCGCTGACCCTCATTTTCAACAACCCCGACCTCTCACCCTTAATTCAGGGCGGAGTCGAGGTGTCGCGCCCAAGGAGGGGTGTAACGTCCAGGCCTCCAAAAACTTTAAAACTTTCGCGTCACTATAATATTAAAAGGCCATAGTGGCCATTGGCCGATTTGTGCTAACTGAGTAATAACATAAGTAGTATTTTAAGCGAAAACCTATTTTAACAGCGGATTTAATAATTCAATTGTTAAAAAGGGCCGAGATTAAATTATAAAATCGTCAACAGTACAATAAAAGCACTCTAGTATGATAATATATCATTGCAATTAATGGGGAAGTATAAAAGGCCATACATAACAACAGAATTATTAATACAATTAGAATAATATAAAATATTCACGTTGCGAACTCGCATGGACACGAACGAACGATAACAAAATGACATCATTGCGTCGCTATGCATCACGCCACCGTGCATCACGTCATTCAGCCACCCGCATGCAGTACCAGGAAGCTGAAGAGTAGTGGAATCCCTTTAATGAAGGCCGACTTGGGACCACCATGCCACCCTGCAATTCGGCGCTGCAGTCCGGCCGCCGTCGGAAGCCGCCGGAGCCTATATAAGCCTCGCAACCGGAGCGCGCGGGCAGTGCTTCATCAATTTTTCCTTACGACACACTCACGTAATTTCAGTGTCTCTATAATTTTTGCAGTAGTGGTTCTTCTTCAACATTTCACAAACAGTGCGACACACAATTTTCGCTCGGACACTCACACGTAATTTTTGCGCAGTAATTTCACACACAGTGCGACACACAATTTTGTCAGTAGTTACTCGACATTTTTCTCAGACACACACATATTATTCTGTGACACATAATTTTTACACTTTAACCTCTGTATTAACTAGTCTCGCCGACCCGTTGCTACGAAACATTTGTGCGGGAGAAATTACACATTACTACATATTACTACAATTCGGAAACGATACCGAAATATTCTACTTCCGCTCCGGCCGTCGCCTGCTACCAATAGGCCACCGCCCGGGCCCTTCGACTGACCGCCGGCAACACCGACCGACCTTTGCGAGCGTGTCCTGGCGAATTATTATAAGAGCGACGCACAGCTACTACACAATAATCGTAAGTTACTATTATATTAGCTTTTGAGTATTTACACGACAAATTATAAGAAATTCATTACCGCCAACTCGACTTAAATTTTATTATCACTTTCCAATTATTATAACAACTATTATCATTACAATAATTATAATTGTTTGACGTCACAAAGCCAACAAATATACATTAAAATAAATTCCTTTTTTTTATGATCATTTGTCTTAATACCTCTTAAACGGCCGCATCCGTGTTCCGTGTCAAGTTACAGCACGTTTCCCTAAGGGCGACCGTGTTACTTTTATTTGATTCTTTCACACTTATATCTTTTCGTCTCTTAGCTGCATGGAGCAGTCCTCACGGAGTTTATTAACGAAAATTCAATCAATTTAAATTATAATTTAAATAATTTGATGTCAAGGAGAAGTGGCAGAACATTTAGAGAGCGCCTACAGCACTGGTTAACGCGCACGGCAAAACACGACGTACCAGTATCTATAACACCCGACTTGCCTACCCCCACGGAACGAGGGTATTTTATTATATATATTAGGGAAATC